TAACTCCACAGGAGCCTGGGCTGGATCTACCTACGAGTCTTAGAGGGTCTCCTGGGCGGCAGGGGTCAGCTGTGGCTCACTGGGGGCAGCAAGGACACTGGTGGCAGAGTTCCAAGAGAAGAATGATCGGCCTGAGCTCTCTGGGAGGTCGCCATTTTGGCATCAAGACCTGGTGCTACCCAACAGTCTACAGCCTCCAGTGCTGGAACACCTCAGGCCAAACAAGCAGCAGGATAGGAACACAGCCCCATCCACCAGCAGATAGGCTGCCTAAATGTGTACTGAGCTCACAGCCACCTCTAAACACCCCTTGACCTGGCCCTGACCGCCAGGGGAACAAGACCCAGCTCCCCCCACCAGTGGGCAGGCACAAGTCCCTCCCAACAGGAAGCCTGCACAAGCCCCAGGACCAACCTCATCCACCAGAGGGCAGACAACACCAGAAGCAAGAGGAGTTCTGATCCTGCAGCCAGTGGGAAGGAGACCCCAAATAACAGAAAATTAGACAAAATGAGATGGCAGAGAAATATGTTCCAGACAAGGGAACAAGATGAAAAAAAAAAAACCCACAGGAACAACTAAATGAAGTGGAGATAGGCAACCTACCTGAAAAAGAATTTAGAGTAATGATATCAAAGATGATTCAAAATTTCAGAAAAAGAGTGGAGGCACAGATCAAGATGAGACAAGAGATGTTTAACGAAGAGCTAGAAGATTTAAAGAACAAAGAAACAGACGAACAATACAATAACTGGAATGAAGAATACACCAAATGGAATCAATAGCAGAATAATTGAGGCAGAAGAATGAATAAGCATGCTGAAAAACACAATGGTGGAAATCACTGCGGCTGAAGAGAATAAAGAAAAAGTGAAAAGAAATGAGGACAGCCTCGGAGACGTCTGGGACAACGTTAAACAAACCAACATTTGCATTATTTGGGTCCCAGAAGGAGAAGCGAGAAAGGGCCTGAGAAAATATTTGAAGAGATTATAGCTGAAAACTTCCCTGACATGAGAAAGGAAACACTCAAGTCCAGGAAGAGCAGAGAGTCCCATAGAAGATAAATGCAAAGAAGAACATGCTCAGACACATATTAATCAAACTGACAAAAAAAGACAAAGGAAAAAATACTAAAAGCAACAAATAACATACAGGGGAATCCCCATAACATTATCTGCTGATCTTTCAGCAGAAACTCTACAAGCCAGAAGGGAGTGGCATGATATATTCAAAGTGATGAAAGGGAAGAACCTACAACCCAAAATACTCTACCCGGTAAGGCTCTCATTCAGATTTGATGGAGAAATCAAAAGCTTTACAGACAAGCAAAAGCTAAGAGGATTCAGTACCACCAAACCAGCTTTACAACAAATCCTAAAGGAACTTCTCTAGGCAGTAAAGAAAAGGCCACAACTAGAACCAAGAAAATTATGAATGGGAAAGCTCACGGTATGTAAAGGCAAACATAAAGGTAGGAAATCATCCACACACAAATATGATATCAAAACCAGCAATCGTGAGGAGAGTACAAATGCAGGATATCGGAAATGCATTTCAAATTAAAAGACCAGCAACTTAAAACAATCTTGCACATACATAGACTGCTACATCAAAACCTCATGGGAACCACAAACCAAAAATCCACAGTAGATACACACACAGAAAAGAAAAGCAATCCAAACACAACACTAAAGATAGATATCAAATCACAAGAGAACAAAAGAGGAAGGGAAGAAAAAAGATCTCAAAAACAAATCCAAAACAATTAACAAAATGGCAGTAAGAACATACATGTTGATAATTACCTTAAATGTAAATGGATTCGATGCTCCAACCAAAAGACATAGACTGGAACGAAATCATGCCATTTGCAGCAACATGGATGGACCTAGAGATGATCATACTAAGTGAAGTAAGTCAGACAGAGAGACAAATATCATATGATATCACTCATGTGGAATCTTAATTTTTAAAAAATGAGAAAAATGAACTGATTTACAGAACAGAAACAGACTGACAGATATTGAAAACAAACTTATGGTGACCAAAGGGGAAAAGTGGGGGGAAGGGATAAATCAGGAACTTGGGATTAACATATACACAGTACTATATATAAAATAGATAAGCAACAAGGACCTACTGATATAGCACTGGGAAATCTACTCAATATTCTGTGATAAACTATATGAGAAAAGAATCTAAAAAAGAATGGATATATGTATAACTGAAATACTTTGCCGTATACCTGAAACTAACACACCACTGTAAATCCACTATACTCCAATAAAATTAAAACGAAAAAACAAACAAAAAAAACCCAACAGGGTCTCCAGAGGAAAGACTGAATGGGCTAGACTCTGAACCTGATGGCTGTTCAGCTGTGTCAAATTCTTTGACCCGTCCTTACCCATCAAACCCTGCTCGCTTGGTGGCTGCCCTTCCAGCACTGCTGACCCATAACCTTTAATTAAAGCCAGGACTTGGACATTTCAAGGATATTATGAACCCTGCTTAGATTGAAGGAGCCTAAGAAAATTAGTGCACCGAGTTCAGTGGAAACTCAGAGGAAGAGTTCTCCCCCCTCTTCACCACTCACCCCATGTGAGGACAGACTTACCCTTACTGGTTTAAGCTCATTTGCAAATTAAAAACCATCACGTCTGTTTCTTAAAATGCCAGCTACTGAGAGCCATAATGAGGATTTTTAGAATGGAGTTCCAGAAATGACACAATATTAGTTTCAAAAGAAGTCATATTTATAGGAGTAACGGAAAACATGAAGCTGTTGCCTTTTCTTTCTACTCTTTGGTTTTTATAATTCCTTTTGTAGAAAGTATACTACTCAAGATGTGAGGTTGAAATGGATCCCAAAACGTTGGAATAAGCAGGCGGCCTTTTCCTGAGGCTGAAGTGATAAGAATGTTGTTGCTTAGTTAACTAGCTCTTGGATTTGGCATAACCTGGTTTTCTATAAGAAAGTACCCTCTGGTAACATTCAGAGTGGCAAGCCTAGGAAATGCAAGCTACGAGGCTTAAAAACTCCTGGGCTGACTTCACGTAGATGTCAGTCTCTCTCATCGTCTGTCAAAGACAGGAATGGTGACATTTGACTTGTGGAACCCTGTCCAGCAGGGATATTGGGAGATGTAACAGCAAGTACTATTTATTTTCCCTCCTTCTCTCCATTCCAGTATCCCTGCCATTCTCTTCATAGGAACAGAGAGCACAGTGCAAGATCGTCACCCCCGCTGGGCATTTTCCTGGAGGTGTCTAGCAGGTTATTTTGCAGGCAAATACCATAGCTGCCAGCCAGAATTGTTGTTTAGAAAATGATGGGTCTTCCAGGGGAATATAAGGAAAATTAAACAATATTCTCTCCCACCTGCATTTTTCTGAGCTCAGACTCTTCAGTTAAGGAATAATATATACTGTACATTTTTTTTCCACTACTAAAATTGTCTTTTGTATCCACTTTGTCTTAACTGCTTGTAGAAAGCCAAAGATTATAACCCATAATGAGTCGGTGCAGCAGATGGGAATGTTTTAAGCCCCCTTCAGTCTCTGGGATTAGGCGAGTTGAGAAGACAGTAAGATGTCACCATTAAAGCCAGAACTTGAACATTTCATGGACCTTGGGAACCTTGCTTAGTTGAAGTACCTCTGGTAGTCCAGCTCCAAGGTGGGGGCAGATGGTGGAGAAATAAATATTTTCCTTATCATTGTGATTATTGTATTCTCTGGTGCACATGTTGAAGAAACAGTACACAAAGCTGTCAGTACCCTTCAGTTTGGTTATTCAAAAATATTTCTTTTTCCCTTTTTTTCTTCCTTGCTTTAAAATGAAGATTTATTCTAACGTAGAAATTGTGACCCTTTGTTTTCTTCCAACTGAATTCACACAGCTTGGGTTTATGTATACACACACACACACACACATAAATTCTGAGCCTGGAACCTTGTTAGTGGTAAAGAAGTAGGTTTTAACCAAAAAAAGATGATGTTCTTTTTCCATATGGCTACCTCAGGCAAAGAGAAAAATGACTAAAGAGCCATGGAGTCTAATTTCTCTTGCAACAAAGTAAGAGTCGACGCTTCATACAAATGAAGTCAAAGTTGAAACCATTAAGACCTTTACTTCATTCCTTCAGTTAAGCATACTGGGTATTTGTGTAATCCTGTTTCATAGTATGGAGATTTGTAAGTAAGGCGGCAGATTACATAGCCCTGCTCACTGGAGACAGTGGGTGCAGGACAGAACAAGGGACTGAATTCTGAATAAAGGTCTCATGAATATTTACAATGGTTGTACAAGGGTGGCCCCAAAGTCAGGCTGCCTGAGTTCACGGCAGCCCCACCCACCAGCGTAGGTGTCTTAGCCTCACTTCACCTCCCTAAGTCGAAGTTTCCTCGGCTAGCGCACTATGTGGCTAAAGTAGTATCTACTACAAGACAGCTGGGAAGACCAGGTGAGGTAATCCATGGACTTCCTCGCAGTGTTCGGCTCATGGTATTTCCTCCACGAGTGGTATCTGTGACTAATACTCAGCTCTGTGATCTTAGGCAATTCCCTAATTCCTTTGACTCTTGTCTGTTCCACGTGTTAAACAAGAATATTTACCCTGCCTGCCTACGGTATTGTCGTGAGGGTCAAATGAGAACACGTATTGAAAAGACTTTTAAAAGTGAGTAGTTAACAAACCAGTCGGGAAGAGAGCGCTGTACACAGCACGACACAACTGGAAAACATTCCGAGGCAATGTGTAATCACGCATTGGCCTGTGAGGACTGAACAGGTTCAGAGAAGGCAGTTGTAGACATTCAGGGAAAGGAAGGAAGACTGTGGCCTTATGTTGGGGGCAGTCCACGCAGAGTGGAGGGGGGCCTCCAGCTGAGCCTCGAAGACGAGACAGGAAGGATGCAGCTGGGAGAAGTGGATCCTGCCCTCACTTACCAGTCAGATGGCTAAGTTTTGCTATGCGTCTCCCCTCTCGTTCCAGGCGGAGTTAATTGGAAGCCTCACCCACAAGCTTGAGACCCTCCAGGAAGCCAAGGGGAGCCTGCTGATGGACATCAAGCTCAATAACGCCCTGGGGGAAGAGGTAGAGGCCTGGATCAGTGAGCTCTGCAAGCCCAATGAGATCGACAAGTACAAGATGTTCATCGGGGACTTGGACAAGGTGGTGAACCTGCTGCTCTCCCTCTCAGGACGCCTGGCCCGCGTGGAGAACGTCCTCAGTGGCCTTGGTGAAGACGCCAGTAACGAGGAAAGGGTAGGCCGTGTAACAATTCCGCTCAACACTTTTCCTGCCCGAGCCTATGTACCCAGAGAAGTATGATTAGACAGGAGCCTTTCTAGAGACGGTCACCATCTCTCCGGGGCAGGGAGAGACTCCAACATACAGGGAACAGAGGAGAAGGATCCTGCACGCCAAGATGTCATGCTGACCCCTCAGCCTCAGGGGTACTTAGGAAAAGTTAAAAATGTGGGTGCCAGAGTTTCTTTCCTTCCTTTTTATCCCAGAAAAAGGAAAGGTAAAAGCATGATGGGGGTTGACATTAAAAAAAGGGAGAGGGACGACACAACTGTTCGGGATGAGGACAGGGCTCCCGGGAATCTGCAGGCGAGGGGCCACGGGCACTTGGTGAAGATGCACCCGCTGTGTCCATGGCAGCCCTTACCGGAATAACTGGTAGTGACAGCGGTGGCGATCCCAGATAGAATCTAAGTCCTCCCTCTGGGTCGGACGCTGTGGGCTTAGACACACTGTAGGTGCAGTCTCATAGAATCCTCACAACAGGCCAGTAGGCAACAGGGCCAGGACAGGAGTCCTGCTGCAGCCCCCAAGTGTTATTCACCTCACTGAACTTAATTCCAGAGCTACAGAGCATTCTTCATGTGCTCATCTGTACAGCACATATTTACTGAGTATCCGGTACATGCCACTCTCTGATCTAGGCACTTAGGATACTCTGTGAACAAAGCAGTCAGATCCCCACCCTCATGGAACAAACTTACCAAGGGAGGTCAGGTGATCAACGTAGCTATTTTTCATATATATGCCGAGGTGATGAGCGCTGCAGCCGTCAAGTGGTTCCTTTGCTTTCTGGCTCCTTCTAGCTACAGCTCTCTCTTTCAGTGCTGTCAGGGATTTCCCAATTATTTCTCCGAATGTACTGCATTAAAAGGAAAGGTGTCTCTTGTCAAATAGATTTTTAAAGGACTGAAAGAAGTCTAGGCGGTAAGCATTTAGGAATGTGACTCAGCATCCAGGAACTTTCTGCAGCCCCTCTCCCGGCGAGTGCCCTCCTCATGTAAATGTTCTGGGCCTTCACTTCGTCACCTACAAACTGTCTGACTGTGTTTGCCTCAGAAGTGTTGTCCTTTCCACCTTCCTTTCATCCAGAAAGCAGCTAACAAGAACCTGTCAGATGCCAGGTGCCCCGCGTGCTAGGGCTGAACACTGCCTAAAAACAGGCCCGCCTTCAAGGAACTCAGCAGTTAGTGAGGAAAACCAACGTAACCAGTGTAGAAGCGGCAATTGTACTTATGCTGCAGCACAGCGATAAACTCAGAGCCATGAGAGCACCTCTCACGCGGTGTGGTGTGGTCAGGAAGGACTTCACACAAGTGCCGCTTGAATGGAGCCTAGGGGACTTTCTTAATTCCAGGTGGGCTGAGAGGGAAAGGGCTTTACCATTTAGGAGGAATGTCATGGACAAAGTCCAGACAGACCATGGCGTGTTTAAGAATTGGTTTACATGTGGTTGGTATGTCTAGAGCAGAGTGCTTCCTTGATTTACTTGTTTTTAAGGGAGACCAACAAGGGATAATGAAGCCACTGTCCCCCCAGGGCTAGCATCAGTGGGGAAGCCATCACTACCTCTGGACCTGGAGCAGCACGAGGAAGGGGCCCTTACCAGAACTCTAGCTGTAGCTGACCTGCGGCACTGAGGCCTGGGTGAAAAGTTGTAGCCACCACCCCCTGGCAAGGAGGGAGCCAGGGATAAAGGCCTCAATTTCTTCTCCCTCCCAGCTTCCGGCCTCCTGCCCATGACTGCCACTGGCCAAAACCAGCAGCCAGCAGGGTGCAGCTTCCCTGGACATAGAAGAGGAGGGTGGATCTGAAGGGGTAAACAGTATCCAGTGCAGAAAATAATCGCAAAGACCTGAGGGTCGTACTTTAGACTTCAGCCTGTAGGCCTGGAGAGCCATGAACTAATTTCATGACATAATCAGCCTGGGGAGGGGTGAGAATGATGTTACAGTTGGGAGGTTTATTGGAAACATGGTCTAGCAAGATGGGTTTAGGCTGTTAATTTGGGCCATTGTCATGGAGATAGAGAATAGGGAGTGACTCAGAGAATGAGTTTGAATTAGCAGGGCGTGTTAGATGAGGGGAAGGATAGAACAGAAGGTTATTCCAAGTTTCCTGTTCGGTCGCTTGGGTGGATGCCACAGGTATCTGAGATAAGCAACACTGGAGCAGTTCTTACGGGAAGATAAGTTGAATTCAATTCTGGAACCACTCAGCACTTAAATGCGCGTACACACTCTCAAGTACATATAAGTGCTTGCTCACCTGCAAGATACATCTGTTTTAGTTTTTATGATTATTGGTCTTTGTTAAATAAAAGTGTAAATAGGAATAAGGGAAAGGAAGAATAAATGGTTCAGTAAATGCCAGATTCAGGACTATAGTTACCAGGGAGGGGAGGAGGGGCATCGGGAGAACTATATATAACGCTTCAACTGAGTATTTTGTTTTTAAACTGAAGCAAATATGAAACATGTTCAAGCTAAGATTTGGCACTGTTAATGATGGGCACACAGATCTTATACCATTCTCTATACAATACTGATGTTTAAAATATTTCATAATTTTTTAAAGGTGAGGAAGAGGTTCTCGCTTTTTAACTTACTTCCCTACGGTATTTTGAAACATGTCTTCATTGCAAATTCAGTCCCTAAGGGTTTCTTTTTTAGGTGTGTTTTTCCTGATTAGGAGAAGGAAGCCTATGAAAATGGAGATATTTGTAAGATTAACCTATTAACTTTGCACTTTTCCTCTAGGCGTTATTAGGTAAGATCTGACAGGCCAGTTCAAGGGGAGTTTAGGGCAGAGACACATGAGCCTTTCATAACCCTACATAAACTAATCTATATTTAAATATTCTTATTTCTTGATTAATTTCCACTTTAAAGTTTCTCATTCACTTTAGCCTGAAGAGTCTGGTTAAATGTAAAATTTTTTAAAATTTTAAGACAGCATGTTGAGTAAAAGGCCACATTACAGACTTCTATAAAGTCTAAAGATAATACGCTGTCTTACCATTGGGTCTGTATAAGAAACTCTCAGAATATGAACTTGGCATCATTGCCAAATAGAATTTCTCTCATGTTAGATTCAGAGGCCTGAAAAATGGAAACTGATTTTTTCGGAGATGGTAAATATGATGTTCCCATTGTTGATTATGGATTGGGGCAGAGGTTCTCAAACTTTAACTGCAAAGAATCGCCCGAAAGGCTCCTTCAACCACAGACCCCTAAGCCCCACACCTCCAGAACTTTTGATTCAGTAGGTGGAAGGGGGCCTGAAATTTTGCATTTCTAACAAATCCCCGGGAGATGCTGCTGGTACCCACTTTGAGGACCACTATAAAATGGAAATACTTGTAAACACTCAAGGTACCTTGATGACTGGCTTTTTTTCCCTTCAGTTGTTTAACTGTGGTAAACTACATACAAGATTTGCCATCGTAACCATTTTTAGCTGTACAGTTCAGTAGTATTAACTATGTTAACATTGTTGTGTAACAGATCTCCAGAACTTTCTCATCTTGCGAAACTGAAACTCCATACCCACTGAAACAGCAACTCCCCCTCCTTTCTCCCCTCCCCCAGAGCCTAGCAACTACCATTCTACTTCGTGTCTCTATGACTGTAGACTATTCTAAGGACCTCATATAAATGGAATCCTGATTGTTCTTCTAAGTCTAGAAGCCTTAAAGTAAAGCCATTACCCCAGCCAATTTTAACATAATCTCTCAAATTAAAGCTGCCACGTGACTTTATAAGTTAGAGAACCATATATCTGCAACATAAGGGTAATGAACTGATTTTCAAATGACTGAGTCTCCTTACTTTAGATCGACAATCAAAATAGAAACTTAGACACTGCACCGTCCTGAAAAAGGTCTCTCTGCGGGCAGTTCGGTTCTTTTCCCCGTTCTGCTGGCCCTTTGCTGATCTGCTTGTTTCGCCCTGGCAGAGCTCTCTCAACGAGAAGAGGAAGGTCCTGGCTGCGCAGCACGAGGACGCGCGGGAGCTCAAGGAGAATGTGGACCGGAGGCAGCGCGTGGTGCTGGACATCCTGGCCCATTACCTTTCCAAGGAGCAACTCCAGGATTACCAGCATTTTGTGAAAATGAAGTCGACACTCCTCATCGAGCAGCGGGAGCTGGACGACAAGATCAAGCTGGGCCAGGAGCAGGTCAAGTGTCTGCTGGAGAGCCTTCCCTCGGATTTCGTGCCCAAGGCAGGGGCCCTGGCTCTGCCCCCAGGCCTCGCCGGTGACGTGACTGCCGTGGGAGGGTGGACTGTCAGTATTTTTCCAACAGTAACCTCTCCACTTTAACCTCTTCTCCAGGACCCAACGAAAAGCCCACCCCTTCTCTCAACACTATTTAATCTGAAAAACGTTTCAGTACAAGCCAGCCTTTAAACTCTATGGGTTATGGGGGTTTTTCTGGATAAAAGGAAAAAATTCCATCCAGGAAAAAGCCTGTCTTTTCTTTCTCGCCCTTCATGATTGATCTTCTGAGAGCTTGAATGCTGCTGGGAACTTACCCCTTTCTGTTGTCACTTCGTGGTAGAAAGAAAATTAATGAAACGGTGCGAACTGATCGGAGGGTGTCTGTTTAGTTTTCCACAGGCTTGAGGCAACATGGATAAGTGTGCGTCACCCTCAGGAATGTACCCACAGTGGCCTTCCCTGCTTGTGGGCAGTGTATCCTGACGCCAGGTACGCGTACCTAAGGGTCTGCAACATAAAGCCTTAAAGAGAAACACACACAGGAGAAAACTGTCAAGCCTTGAATGCTGTTATTTATATTTTTAAAAATGAAAAAGATCATTGTTTGTGTGCTAACCACTTACTTGATTCTGTTTTGTGGTGGACGTAGACGGTTACATTTGAGCTTTGTATTTTGTGAGAACCTTAATGAAACGAAGAATTCCAAAGACAGTCACATTGAGCGTGGAGACTTTTTTCTTAAACTCTCAACAGCGAGTAGGCCTTCAGTGCTTGTCTTAAGCTGAGTATGGGGGCGCCCCGGCTGCCACTGCTGCCAGTCTTCATCACTGTGCTCCCGCAGCAGTCGGGAGCACACACGCCTTCCCAGGAAGAAGGCTTTGTGCAGCATGGCGATCGTATCCTTTCCTAGTGCTTCCTATCATTATCACTGGGGTGGAGAGAAAGCTAAATTTTACTAACAAGGACAACTCTCCAACCCGTTGACAAGGAGGCCGGAACCCAAGTCAATTCAAAACCGAATTCATGCTGTCCTCCTATACGAGATTTGAGCTAAATACAACTTCTTTGGTGAGCTATTTTAGCAGGCTGTTTTAATGATGCTTTTCAAAAAAGTTTCTTTTCCTAAAATGTCAAACTTATCAACTACATTTTCACTGAAAACTCCCTCCTTAACCTCTGAAGACTGATTTTGCACTATTCTGCTTCAATAATAACATCTGAGAGGGTACTCGAGAGCCTAAGATGTAAGTTTATTAAAATATAGAGACTGGAGGATGGAAGGAGATGATGGGCCAGCGACCAGGCTATGTTGTCAGCTGCCAGAGATGGCAACAACCCAATACTTTAAGCAGGTGGTGAATCCCAGGCTGTGCTTTAGTTCTGTTGTTGTTTTTACATGTGTTGACTCCTCGGAGTGGGGGGGGGGGGTGGCCAACCGTGCTGATTTGGGCTACAAGTACTGTAGCAGCCAGTCCTAGAGAACTGGGAGAGTAAAGTTCTTAGGAGGGTATCAAATGCTCGTTTTTCTTAGTACATTTTAATTAATGAAAATTTTCTGGTTAAGAACTTCAAAAACGTAGTTTTGACCCCCAATACAGATGTATTTTGATGAACTTAGAATCAATAGGCCACCCACAGATTTCTCCTGAGCCATCAACAAAAGCCATTGCTTCATTCTTTGGAGGTTTTACACTGTCAGACTGCATTGTAAGACGGCACCTTGGTTTCCCAGGAATGTTTTCAAAAGCTTATCTCTTACATCTAGAGGTTCCATCTCCCAGGGAATCAGTAGAACCAGGGACAGCATTCAATAGCCACACTGCATGGTCATTTTGAAGTAAAAAAAAACAGTACCTCCAACTGACCTTTCATCAGACTTAGGCCAACACAGGAGCCTGAGATTAACTCCAGTCGGTGTGTCTTGCTGATACTGGGTGGTTTCCCTGAGGTCAGAGCAGGTTGAAGCTAGCCAGCAAATGTCTGCAGCAGTTCTTAGTGAAGTTCCTCAGGGGATTCTGGGGCTCCCAATTCCCAACACTCTTTTAAATTATCCTTAAGGATTTGACTGGGAACGTTTTACACATTCAGTCTTTTTCATCACTTTTCTTATTTATACATGTCAAAGTAAGTGACCCCCCCCCCCCCAGAGCAGAGCAGGTGATACTGCAAGGCACCACAAGCACCTGAAAGCTATGATGCTCTGAGGATCGTTATCCCTTCTTTTGTTCCATTGAAATGTTCTGTTATGTGAGATGAGCGAGGTACCGAGTATGACTGTGACATCTAATCCTCAGGCGGATGTGATATTTATAACAGGGTTTTGACCTCTGTGCTCTGATGAGAAGAAATCACTAACCTAATTTTCATTGTTAACTTTAACTAGATAATAAGCCTATTCTTTATCCCTCTCCTATTTTGCATTCTTTCCCTACTATTAAAAAAAAAATTATTAAAAATGTCATCTGCAGAAGCCACCGTTTCCCTCCGAATGGCATCCTCGGCCAAAATCACGGGCACAGCAACCATGAGCAAGCTGCTGGTCAGGATTTCAGGACACACGTTACATCATCAGGAATGTCTGTTCAGTCAGTAATTGTCCCTGTGGATATGATCCTTTCAGAGATACCATGTCCCGTGAGAAGTCAGGTGGGAGTGGGATGGCCTTGCTGATACTCAAGAATCCTTCAAAGTTCCAAGGAAGGACAATGTGCTACGACATAACTGGGAGGCTTCCAACTTCCTGGGCCCCTGGAGAAGTTCCTGGGCTTGTTGCTACATGTTGTCTGACTCAGCCTTTTCTCACGCTGCTTTGCATCTTGTGGTGGCTGCCTGACCCCAAAGAATGCAGGGAGGGTCCATAGTCAACACGTCTTGAGTTTCTCCCAGAGGCACTGTCGAAACCAAACATTTTTTTCCTTTGCTCCAGGGGATCATTTTATGATGATGAAAACCATCAACTGGTTTTCAGACTTGAAGATTAGCAAGTTTGGGTCGGCTCCCAAGAGTCTGTTGAAATGAGGAGTGAGGGCTTAACTGAGGTTCTTTGGGGCGTATAAGGCAGAAACCAGGGACTCCCCTGGCGGTCCAGTGGTTAAGACTCCGTGCTTCCACTGCAGGGGGCACGCCTTCGATCCCTGGTCAGGGAACTAAGATCCGACATGCTGCAGGGCATGGCAAAAAAAAAAAGATATTAAAGCAGAAACCAGCCTGGGAAATCCCAGTTTTCCTATTACTCCATTGTTAATATCTGATCCAAAGTGACTTCTGAGTTTGATAGATCACAGTCATTCCTAATATGAGTTCTACCGTGAAGTTTGTTTTTTATTCAAGCATCTTTTATTAAAATATTGGGCTTTTTTTCTGGATAACTTGAAAAATGTTGGCTTTTTATTCTTATATGATTCCAAATTTTTCTCTTTAGTTTAATTTTCTATGATATTACTGGCTTTATTCTGTCACGTTGGAATTATTTTTCCTTTCTTAGAATAAAATGAGTTTTGTTCACCTTACTGCTGGGAGGAAAAGGAAGAACTTGAGCGAGAAATAACTTCTCCATCTCCAGCAAGACGTGGCCAGGTGAACGTGAAGGGGCCTTTCTACACAGAAATAGATTATTGGGGCCAAGGTATTCGTTGCTGCCTGAACTCTCTGGGACGAAGCATGGAATAAAATGATAAAGGCCATTTTGATATCAGGGACACATGAACAGTGTTCTAGTTTATTCTTATTTCTAAATGAAACCTTACTTTTCTTAAGGGAGCTCATTCAGACACTAACTCAATCATGGTTTCTCAAAGTACAGTCAAGGTAGCACCTGCATCAGAGTAACGGGTACTTGTTATAAAAAGGCCAGTTGCTGGGACACAAACAAGTAGGCTGGGAACCTGCATCTTAACAAGTTCCCCAGTTTATTCTGATGTACTCTAACATCCAAGAGCCTCTTACCCCTGCCGTTTGTACGGTTTTTATTGTTAGGATCACAGTTAGACTGGCATGAACGTATATCATAATAATCCCCAGAAATTCGACGCCCTGTCACATTTACTCTCATTAACTACATTTTTATGAGTTAATACTGTCCCCACGATTAAATCATCCCCAAGGTTGTGATATGGGTTCCCCCCCCAGCCCCCGCTCACTCTCTCCTAGATCTGTCTTAAATTTAAACAAGCTAAGTACTTATTCAGGCTAAGTGCACTAATTATTTCTCCCCCAAAGGAATCAGCTTATCAAACAATGTCAGTAATCTGAAGTGCTGCCATGATACCTGTACTCACCTGAAATCACGACTGACCTTTGTAGTGGGGACCGTACTCAGATCTCTGTGGCTTCATCACTAGTCTCGCGCTACCTATGGGTTAGAATTTCTCTTGGCTTGGATCTGACAGTCTAGGTAATGAAACAAAAATGTGTTCCTTTCCTTTGAGAAGTGAAAGGAGCCATCAACTGATTTTAAAAGGCTAAAATCAAAATTAGGTAGGAAAAAAGTTGTGGAGAAAGAAACTGGTTCCCTTAGTCCTGCCTCATTCTATAAATTCTTCTCAAATCTTCTGTAAGTGGAAAAGCAGCTGTATTTCTTGCTAAGACATCAGTATTGCTATTGCTTTACACAGTGGAAGTTTAGTATGAGAAATTATTGTATTCTGATAAACAAGTATCTATAGAATATAAGGAAATTCTGTATGATACCCTTGAGCTAAGGAAGAGTACCCAAGAAAAGGTAAACTTGGAAAGGGCCGCCCTCACAAAGGCTGGGGTTCAGAGCTTTTTGGAGAACTCAGTCCACTGACAGCAGAGAATTTTGTTCTTTGCCCAGGCCAGAAGCCGGTCTGCAGTCCCTGGGCAAGCAGGAGGCAACCCAGAGCATAGACGTGCACAGGTAGTGGAGGCCTGCAGAGGGGCTGGCCGCTCAGGGAAAACCCTCTGAGTCAGGTTATCTGCTAGGGGCCTGAGGGAAGAGGGTATTGGCAGAATACCTTTGGGGCACGGATGCAAGCAGGAATCCTTCAGGATGTGTCAAGTCCACAGAGCTGGGAGAAGGTTATCCCTGCTGAGGCTGCAAGGTCACTGAGGTGACCCATGGTTGGGGCAGAACTCCCTCAGATACCCTCACACCACGCCACTCCTGCACCAGGCAGCAGCGCAAACAGCAGGGTAGTCCTTTCCTTCCCTCCTGCCCTCCAGCGCCCTCTACTGAGAAAACAACGTCACGCTCGCTGTGAAGGAGATTCAAGTGTCCGCTGTCACAGAGCACGTAATGAAGGGGGAATGTGGAGCTAAGAGGCAATAAATTGGTAACTGGCACAGATTTATTCTTCTAGATCATTACC